ATGGGGACTCCCCTTCACCACCACCAATGTGCAGCATCCAGAATGAGTAATTCAGGTTCTGAAGTCAAAACAATCATTGTTGTTCATATTTTCAATTAACAAACACACCTTTGATTACATTTATTTGTATATACCTTAGCCGTCTCAGATGAGATTCCCTTTTTGAAACAAAAAAGGTTTGAAAGCCCCTTTTTTATTTCAGTTAATAATTAGACTAGCTTTTAAAAGGTAAAGATGCTTTTCCATCTGTACCGGAACATCCCTCACATGGCTGAGTATGGTGACCAGGACAGATGTTGAACTGAGATCCAGACTAATTTTGTCATTAAAGCTCATATATTGCTGGCTGTTAAAATAGGTGTTTTAACCTCACTGGTCAAGCTAAATTTCACTCTGGGCTTTCATAATTTGCTCAAAACAATATGACTGGTACTTTGTCATTTCTCCACCTGGCCTGCTGTTGTAGTGAAGTTGCTGGTACATTACTGTATGTGTGCTGCGTTACACCTTCCTAAGTGTAAAGTGCTTTGGGATTCTTTGGATGAAAAAAACACCATACAAATGTTATGTTATTGAGTACACTTCTGCCAGTCTTAGTTTGTGTCAGTTTGTGTGAACAAAAACAGTTCATAGAATTACAGCAATTTCCTTAAGTACAAGGACAGTTTAAGGAAATTGTGCCTGTCCGGACTAGCGAAAACCAAATGAGTACACATAAAAGTTAAAACCATGAAGGAGGCTTGCAAAGTCAACCTGCATCACTTCCAGCCAGGGATAGAATACTTAAATAGAACAGGTTACAGGAAAGGAATTCAGGAGCTATGTAGGCATGGCTCAGAGGGAGTTACAAACAGAGTGATAAACTAAAGACTAAAGAATTTGCTGATTGATTTAGAATGGGAACTACTGTATAAAAATAACTGTTTTGAATAAGTACTTATGGGGTAATTTTCAAATTTTCTTTTGACCCAGACATTTGAAAGACCTCGAAGACTGGAGCTTCCCTCTTCTGTCATTTCATTCCTTTTTTTTCTCCTTTCCTTTTACTTTTCACACTCCTGGTTTCTTTTTTTCTTTCTTCTCCTTTCTTCCTCTTTTTATATTAATATTTTATGTTAATATTAATGTTTAGGTTCCAGGTCTGCCATACCATGATGATTTAACATTCACATTTGTTCATTATTGTCTGTGGTACCAATGTAATATTATTTTGTCTTCAATAAACAAATTGAACATAAAATGTTCTAAGAATAAATTACAAAATCTGTGTACATGATAAAATTGTAATTAAGGAAGATAAATTGTCATGGACAAGCTGTTGACGGGCCTCTGAGTAAGAATGCCACATGACATCCAAGCTCATCATATCAGTGTTTAATGGAGCTCAAGCCTGGTAAACAGGTCATCACACTTTCATGACACAAGAAACCCATGAGGACATGTGTTGTTCTGCAGGCATATTGTCATATCAGGATACGTCCAGAGGCAAGGCAGCAGGTGAGGTTTCAGAACTTGTTCAGTGTAGCGCCATGCAATCATGTTGCCATCAATCGCTACTTCAATCACTGTGGTCCGCCAT